CTCTTATTTATTTCTCTTGTCTTATTGCTCTGGTCAAGGACTTCTAGTGCTATGTTGAATAGAAGTGGTGAAAGTGAGCATCCTTCTCTTGTTTCTTATCTTAAAGGTAAAGCTTTCAATATTTTACCATTGAGTATGATGTTAGCAGTGGGCTTGTCATATATAACTTTGATTGTGTTAAGGTACATTTCTTTTATGCCTAATTTGTTGATAATTTTTATCAAGAAAGGATGTTGAATTTTTAAAATTGCTTTTTCTGCATTACTCAAGATGATCATATGGTTTTTGTCCTTCATTCTGTTAGTGTGTTGTAGCACATTTATAAATTTTTATATGTTGAACCATCCTTGCATCTTTCATCCCTGAGATAAATTTAACTTGATCATGGTGCATAAGCCTTTTAATGTGATGTTGCATTTGGTATAATGGAATTTTGTTAAGTAATTTTTCATCTGTGATCATCGGGGATATTGGCTTGTAATTTTCTTTTCTCATAGTGTCCTTTGTCTGGCTTTGATATCAGGGTAATACTGGCCCCATAAAATAACTGTGGAAGTATTTTTTCTTCAATTTTTGGGAAGAGTTTGATAAGGATTCTTATTAGTTCTTCCTTAAATGTTTGGTAGGACTTAGCAGTGAAGGCATCAGCTACTGTGCTTTTCTTTGGCAGGAGACTTTTATCACTCATTCAATTTTTTTTTGCTGTTCTTCCCAATTAAATCTTGATAAGTTACATATTTCTAGGAATTTATTCATTTCTTCTAGTTTATCCAATTTGTTGGCATAAAATTGTTTATATTAGTCTCTTACTGAGTTTTTATATTTCTGTGATATCAGTTATACTGTCTCTGATTTCCACTTTTATTACTTTGAGCCTTCTCTCTTTTTTTAGTCTAGGTAAACATTTGCTAATTTCCTTTCTTTGAAAAAGCAACCCTCAGTTTTGTCAATCTTTTCTCTTGTTTTTATAATGTCTATTTCATTTATTTCTTCTCTGATCTTTATTATTTCCTTCCTTTTGCTAACTTCGTGCTTAGTTGTTGTTGTTGTTTTTTTTTTTCTAGTTTATTGAGGTGTAACATTAAGTTGTTTATTTGGGATCTTTATTTTTTATGTAGACATTTATTGCTGCAAACTTCCTTTTTATAACTGTTTCTTCATGTTCCATCAGTCTTGGTATGCTATGTCTTCATTTTCATTTATTACAAGATATTTTTAAAATTTCCCTTTTAATGTATTCATTTACCCATTGTTTGTTCAAAGGTATGTTGTTTTATTTTCAGATATTTGTGGTTAAAGAAAAAGTTTCTCCTGGTATTAATTCTAGTTTTATATTATTGTGGTCAGAAAAGATACTTGATATTATGTCAATCTTTTAATATTAGGACTTATTTTGTGTCCTAATATATGATCTCTCCTGGAAACTGTCTTGTGTGCCATTGAGAAGAATATTTTCTTTAGTTGTTGGATGGAATGTTCTATGTATGTCTGTTAGGCCCATTTGGCCTAAAGTATATTTTAAGTCCAATGGCTTTGTATTGATTTTTTGTCCGAATGATCTGTCCTTTGCTGAAAGTGGGATCTTGAATTCTCCTACTATTATTATTTATAATCCATCTCTTTCTTCATATCTATTACTATTTGCTTTATGTATTTAAGCATTCCATTGTAGGGTGCATATATTTATAATTGTTATTTCCTCTTGGTGAACTGACCCCTTTATCATTATATAATGATCTTCGTTGTCTCATTTTACAGTTGTTGACTTAATGTATATTTTGTCTCATTTAAATATTGCTATTCTTACTCCCTTTTGGTTTCCATGTGCTGCAGTATCATTTGCTTTCCTTCTCTTTCAGTGTATGTGTGTCCTTACAGGTGAAGTGAGTTTCTCGTGGCAGCATATAGTTCATTTTTTTAAAAAATTCATTCAGTCACTTTAATATCTTTAGTTTGGTGAATTTAATTTATTCACATTGAAGGAAGTTATTGATAAGTAAGGACTTACTACTGACAATTTGTTAATGGTAATTTTGAAGTAGCTTAATGATCACTCAGCAGAAGCACAGGACTGCTTAAAATACTCTGCATCTCTTTGTTTTCTACTTCACCTAATCACATGTCTAACAATACTTATGAAGTTTGGCCTCAGTCTGTGATACCCTTGCCCCACTCTATAAGCATGATAATGAAATACTGCTAAGGCAAAAATGCTTTAAGGGGTAGGTTAAGTTTAAAGACAGTATAGAAAAAGGTCTGCTTGGCATTTTTAAAGTTGAATTCTAGCAATTTCTAACCAACTAAAGTAAAAGTATAGAAATATATTTCATAGGAAAAACTATAATCAAGGTTCTTGATCAGTATATTTTTGTGATTAGGAACTAACCTTGTACACTTTTTCTACTCAAATGAACAGTACCTGTACCAATAAAATTCATACTCTGCTGTTATGTTCTCAATTATTTGACTACTTCTTGCAGATATTTTCCAAATATAAACTTTGTCTTAATTTACTCCATTCTTCTGAAAAGCCAAAATGTATAAGAATAAGCTCAATACTTGTTAATGCATTATCAGCTTATCTGAATCATGCAGCCTATCACTGAGCATGGATATGAGGTAACTCCTGTATTCCAGATACTGTCCTTGGTATGGACACAGGATTCATGAAAGTTTCATTATCAAAAGGTTTCTTTAGAGAAATTTTTGATTTTGATTTTGTTTTGTTTACAGAGATGGTGTTTGAAAATATATTGCAGGAACTATTTTAGTGAAAAATAATAGATTGATGTAAAAATATTACTGCAATCCAAAGCATTCAGTATGGAACAAGTACCTCAGGCAGCAAAGATTGCCCATGTTTATACAATGGACTGGTGAGTCACAGAAAGATGTAGATTTTGAGATTTGCTTCCCTGTTAAAAATATTCCTTAAAAACCCTTAATATTAGAAAAAACTCAATTAAACTTGAAGTTATATTTAAATGTGAGGGAAAGCATATAATAATTAGCATAAACATTTGGAGTAACTGCCTGTAGATAGGTTTTCTATCCTCTTAGCTTGACTCTCTAAGGCTAAATCATCAAGTCTGACCTGACCACTTTAGAGATTGGCAACAGATGTAGAGAATGAGTTTAGCTGGGTATCTAAAAATATTCCTTTCGTAAAAGTCAGATCTAGATTTCCAGGACACAGACCTAGAAACCACATTTCTTTGTTTCTCCTTCACCTATTTTTCTCTGTCTCACTAGTGATTTTGTTAATTAACACTTTATCCAAGTATTACAGCTCATAGAGGCTCAACAGTGTGTGAAATTGTCCTGCTGGTAATGACAAAGATGAAGGAAAATCTTAGTCTTATAGCTTTTACCCTACATCTGGACTTAATATTTTAAAGACTACTTCTATGGTAACAGAAAAATATCACTCTATGGCAATGATTCTCAAAATGTGATCCCTAGACTAGCTGTATCACCATTACTCAGGAAAGTGTTAGAAATGCAAATTACCAAGCCCTATTCCAGACCTAGTGAATCAGAATATCTGGAGCTGGAGTCCAGTAATCTATGTTTTAACAAATCCCTCCAGTGATTGTCATGCCCAATAAACTTTGAGAACCACTGGTCTCTGCAGTTACTATGTTATATGTGAATATATTATTTAGTGATACAGGAAGGCTTAGGTTGAATTATTGGTTAGTAATTTTTATTGTAAACCACTGCCTTACAATGTAGAATAAACTAGTTCAAGTTCCTAGAGCTCCATCATTATTGTATTTCATTACACACCATGTAGGTCTGTTGGCACAGAAAGAACTAATTGTCTTAGTAAATACAAAAGAAGGAAACGCCAGCTGGTAAGTGGTAACACTTGTCTGAACAAAGGCTCTCAACTAAAAATGCACTCAGTAGTTAGGGTTTTAGATGCCATGATATTCATGCTTGATATTTTGCATAATCTTCAAGAATTATTATTTTTTCCTTGTCCCTGTCTTATGTCATAGTGATCTCAATCAGCTCACTTACCATTGTGGTTTTACCATGTTAGTGTTATTTCTTCCAAATAATGCTAATTAGCAGTATTGCTAATTTTGATGCCAAGGCAATATTGTTGTTGAAGAGAAAGTAGGAGTTCCCTGAATGAAGGTAAAGGCAGAATTTTATCCCTGTGAACTCAATTTTTTATGCTAGAAAATTAAGCTCTGTTCATTTCCTCCTCCTCCTCCTGTCTCCCTCTCTCTCTCTACCAGAAGTGACCTGTTGTCAGGTCTTGTAACTTCTTTTTTTTTTTTTTTTTTTTTTTTTTTTAAGCATCTGAAAATCAGCTTTATTAAACCACACACTAATTCAGAAAAGTGCTTTGTAGCAAAGCAGTCTCAACAGCCCTCATAATTATATCACTTCCCATCCAGATTCTTCTGCAAGTAGAATGTATTAATACACCATTTATTTGATGAATTAATCAATGTTCAAATGGAAGAGGTTTCGACGATGTCACTATGTTGGATGTTTACACCTGCCCTGAATACTTGCTCAGTAGAGAAACACATTTCCCAGTATTTTTTATAACTTACTTTCTCATTGCCTCCAATTAATTTGCTGTTATTTCAAGTAGACAGACAGCTTCAGTACCAGCCACCTCCCTTCATTTTTAGATTATTGAAAAAAAAAAAAAATAGATGAGCAATCAATGAAAAGAATCAGTTTACTGAAATGCCTGTTTTTTAAAGAAAAGTTGGGATTATTTAAAAAAAAAAATTGCCCAGGACTGGTAGCTAGGAGATCTGGGAGACAGAAGTCGTTGTCCTGGTTCTGACACTAAGTAACCCTTTTGTCTTGTACAGGTAACTTCTCATCTACATTCTCAGCATCCTCCTCTGTAAACTGAAGGGTTTAAATGACTCTAAGTTCCTCTTTCTCTCTCTCTATATGTTCTCGAACACCAAGTTTATGTGGGTTTTTTCGGCCTTTGCCCAGATTTTAACCAGAGACCATCCTCCATGAAAGTCTCACTGGCTTTTCCTATATCCACATTTGTATTTTTGGCATTCTGGATCCTTTTTCTCTACAATCGAAATCTTGTTTACCCCAAGGCCCTCGATACTGTTTTCCCAATGTGGCTGAATCATGCAATGCACACTCTCATATTGCCCATCACATTGACTGAAGTCATCCTCAGGCAGCACTCCTATCCGTCAAAGAAGACAGGACTCACCTTGCTGGCTGCTGGCAGCTTTGCTTACGTCAGCAGGATCCTATGGATCTACTTTGAGACGGGTACCTGGGTGTATCCTCTGCTTGCCAAACTCAGCCCCGTGGGGCTAGCAGCTGTCTTCTCTCTCAGCTACATCTTCATCGCCAGCATCTACCTACTCGGAGAGAAGCTCAACCACTGGAAATGGGGTGACATGATGCAGCCACGGAAGAAGAGGAAGTGATTGCACACCATTTTCCAAGAACCAAGAAGGAAGAAAACACAAGAGATTTTTCTCATCTTTTTTTTTTTTTTTTTTTTTTTCTTCTGGTGGGGAGAGGTGGTGGAGAAACATAGGAAGGTAGGAGTGACAGGGAGTGATAATTAAATTTCATACGAGGGTCGTGAAGGTAGCTTAACTTGAGAACTCTTGGTTTTATGAAAAGTTGACTACACATGCCAAAAACAACTCCTGTTGTCTCAGGTCTTGTAACTTCTTTCGCAGCCTTCTCCATCCACCTCTGCATTTCAGTTCCTTTGCCCCTCCTGTGATTCAGTTGTTAATCGTCTCTCAACTGGTTGACTCTAAATCTGGTGACACAGAAAGGGTTACCTTATCTGTGATATCCCAACACTTCCCCAGTGCCTAATTGTCATTCTAGCTTCTACAGAAAGCTCAGGGATTTCTTTATTGCTGCTGTTACCATAAGTGAACTGAATAGGAAAACCAACTAGGTAGATTGTGATGGTTTTGTTCCTTTAAAAATCTCCCCTGTCCCCCTCACAATATGCTGTATTAATGATGATTGCACTGATTCATTTCGTCAATAATTTTTTTGTTACTGTTATGTGTCAGGAGCTGTTTTAAACAGAAAGATAACAGTAGTCAACAAAGACATCAAAAATACCCTGTAGAATTCATAATCTAATGATAATAATGAGTGGATGAAGACATACTGTTGTATTTACATCTATATAGCTATATACATATATATAGAGAGATACACACACACACACACACACACACACACATATATATATATATCTACATCTACAGGTATATTGATATCTAGCTATCTATTTTGCTGTTTTCGATAAGATGGTGAAGGAAGTCTTCTGATGTGGTGAGAACTGAACGAAGTGATGAGGATGCCATCTGGCTATATGTGGCAAAGTGTTTCAGTATAGCAATTGAAGAGCCTGGGGGAAAGAAAAAAGAGTGATATGACTAAAGAGAGATAAGTAAGGAGCAGGTTGGAAGAAGAGGTCAGAGGTAGGAAGAGATCACCAGAGACCATGTAAATTATAGGACAGGATTTAGGTTTTATTTTAAATGCGATGAGAAGGTTTTTTTTTTTTTTTTTTTTTTTTTGAGATGGAGTTTCACTCTTGTTACGCAGGCTGGAGTGCAATGGCACGATCTCGGCTCACCGCAACCTCCGCCTCCTGGGTTCAGGCAATTCTCCTGCCTCAACCTCCTGAGTAGCTCGGATTACAGGCACGCACCACTATGCCCAGCTAATGTTTTGTATTTTTAGTAGAGACGGGGTTTCACCATGTTGACCAGGATGGTCTCGATCTCTTGACCTCGTGATCCACCCGCCTCAGCCTCCCAAAGTGCTGGGATTACAGGCGTGAGCTGGGATTACCACACCCGGTGAGAAGGTTTTAAGGTTTTGAGCAGAGAGATGATATAATGTGGTTGATATTTTTAAAGGATAACAGTGGTAACTATGAGACAGAGGCTATAGGCAAGCAGGAATTGAAGCAAGGAGGCCAGTTAAGAGACTATTTGCAATAAAACATATAAGATTTGATGTTAGCATAAACCAGGGTGGTAGGGATAGAAGGGACATTAATTCCTATTGGATTTAATACAGTGAGTGGTGAGGGACTGGCAGGAGTCAAGGATAAACACAAACATTTTAGGCCTGAGCAAAGTGAAGATGGAATTGCCATGTGCTGAGAAAGGGAAGGTCTTGGGGAAAAATTGGTGAGGAGAAAGGACAGCGGATGTAGTTGAAGAAATAAGCTTTTAGCTTTGAATACATTCTTTGGGATACCTACTGGAAATCAAAATAAGTCATAAATCATTGGAGTCATTAATTCAAGTAGGAGATTTAAAACTATATACCTGAAGTCCCATTCTTTTCTAGATTCATATATATAGATTCAGTATACTGTTATTGTATAGTGTCCAAGATTTTTCTTCTATAAGCTGCTTGCTCAAAAATACAATATACAGACGTATAAAAGAAAACTAAAAATTATCATCCATTCTTTCCAAAGGTATCCATTGTCAACACCTGAGTGTATATATTTCCAAATCATATGTTATATGCTTATATATATTAGTTTAAATCATATGAAACTATTGTTCAATCATTTCAACCTATAAAAACTTATATATTTCATCCCAATATATATATTAACAATTCATAAAAATAGAAATGTGCAGAGTGTACTTATATATGCAATTGTCAGATGTTTGAGTTATTTCAGCTAATACTCTTATGTTACATATGACAGGAAGAACCTGGAATAACTGGCAATTAATTATAAAATGAAAGGAAAATGGTAGTGTAAAACACCCTGAAAAACTTCTATAATATACAATGTATCTATAAAAAATTAAGGGTTATATAAGAGACCAGATAGAGAGAAGGCATACATTTTGAGATCTACTACACGGCAGAGTGACTGTAGTCAATGATAATGTATTGTGTATTTTAAACTAAGTGTAAATTTCAAATTTCTCATCATAAAAAATTATAGGTAAGCAAGGTGATGGATATGCTAATTAGCACAGTTTAATTATTCTACATTGCATACATGTATCAAAACATCAATTTGTATCCTATAAATATATATAATTGTGATTTGTAAATTGAAAATATTAATTTTAAAAGATAGAAGATATATTTACAAATGAAAAGATAAAAGGTCCCATGGTACCCCAAAATGAACAGCAGGCAAAATACCCAAGGCTGATTATTTTTTAAATGACTTTATTTTTTAGAATAGCTCACAGCAAAATTAAGAGGAAGGTACAGAGATTTCCCCTGTATTTTCTGTCCCCAACAGATGCATTGCCTCTCTCATTATTAACATCCCCACCAAAGTGGTACATCTTTTACATTTGATGAACCTACATTGATACATCATCATTAATCAAAGTCCATAGATTACATTAGTATTCACTCTTGGTGTTGTATATTCTGTAGGTTCAGACAAATATTGTATAATGACATGTATCTATCATTACAGTATCATACAGAGCATTTCCACTGCCTCCAAAATCCTTTGTGCTCCCTCTATTTGTTTCTCCCTCCCACGAACTGCTTGACAACCATTCATCTTTTCATTGTCTCCATATAGTTTTGCTTTCCATGTCATATAGTTAAAACCTACAGTATGGAGACTTTTCAGATTGGCTTCTTTCACTTAGTAATATACATTTACGTTTCCTCTATGTCTTTTTGTGGCTTGATCGCTCATTCCTTTTTAGCACAAAATAATATTCCATTGTCTGGATGTACCACAGTTTATCCACTCACCTATCAAAGGACAGCTTGGTTACTTCCACATTTGAGCATTGTGAATAAAGCTGCTATAAATACAGATGCCACTAAGTTTTAAGGTAATTTATTATGCAGCCCTGGTAATTTATATAAGGTGTTAAAAGATCATATTCAAGAATCCATCTCTTACCTTTATTCAACTCTGTTTTCTTCTATATTGGCTTAAAATCAGAAGTAATTCTCTTCTGGTGTTAGCTTTAAGTTCTCATTTTCTTTCTTATTATTATACTTGCAGCAAAAGTTTTAAGTAGGGGTCTCATTAGGGTAGCTTTGGACCAATTATTAGTACCTGGGAGAGGTAGTGTTTTAATTTATTCAGGACTACAGAGGTTGAGGTTGGAAATTCCCTCTGAACCACACCAGCAAAAAGTGAGAGAAGGTGGCTTATCTAAGTGAAATCAAATTCTTAAACAGAATGTGAGGCATGTATGTTCAGACAAAGACAAAATATATTATATACAGAAGTCTCACATATAAATAAAGAAGAATGGGGTATTGTACACTAATATTTTGAATTTAAGATATTAAAAATAAAATGGTAAATTGTCTTCACTTTTAAGGTTATAATTAAGGAAATTAATTTTAAGTTGAAGAGAAGGAATCAGAGATGCAAGCAGAGCACTGAGTCATTTCGAAGTATTTTTCAAATCTCACTAAGGATTTTAATAACTGAAACGAAGCAAAGTACATATTCAGTCATCTAAATGGCATTTTTAGTCACTGTGTTTAGAAAAACATCACTAAACAAATTGAGGAATATTGGTGATCAAGCATGATGTGGATGAAATTGAGACATGATGAAATTCTGGGACATAGTCAATGATCGTAGCTATGCATATTATTGCTCTTAAGGAAAGCAGGAAAAATATATATAAGCTAGCGCATTTCTGCTTCAGGAAAAATTACCCACAGTGGATGTCACAGAGTTATTTGAGGATTAAGGGTAAAATTGCAGCATGCAAAATTACTTTATAAACCATCAATCACTAAATAAATGTAAGTGATTATTGCAGTGATAAGATACAGCTAGTAAACATACAGAAAAATGGATTGTCCTTTCAACTTTAATCTTTTGTTGTTTGCTATTGTAGGTATTATAGATTTGTTTCTCTTTTGTTGTTGCTTTACAAATGAAACCAAACAGAAACCTAAATTATACTGTGGAGCAAAGAGAAGACAAAGAATTTTCAAAAAAAAGTTTTTATCTTCCTTTTAAATGGTAATTTTAATGTTTTCTTTCATCAAGGATAATCCTGGCTGTTTTACAAACTCCCTATTTCATATTTCTCTGTATAGCATCATAAGTAAATCTATATTTAGTGTTGGGTATGCACAAAGCATTATGGAAAGTGTTAGAAGTACTAACTTATAGTAACCAGATATGTACCCTACTATCAAGGAGTTTACACTATAGTAGGGTAAACTGCCAGACTATTTCCAATTAGATAATAAGTACCATAGGACAGTACTCATGTCATATTTATTTCTGTAGATTCATTTCCAGATCACTTAGCATCTTTGTTTATTAATGAAAAGACAGCTAAGACTACTAAAATATCAATTGTGGTACAGATTACAATGCCACAGAAGCTCAAATGTCTCTAAGCTAGCAAAAGAAGTAAGAAATTTGTACAGAAGTTGAATCATAAGTTTGTTTTATGGGCATTGAACTGGAGACGACAGTGTTTACACAAATATCACAGCAACCCTAAGAGTATATGTTGTCATGTGTATTTTTCAGATGAGGAAATTGATGCTCAAAAAGCTTCCAAAATAAACCTTGATCAATATCCCAGATTGTAATTGGTAAAACTATTGCTTCAAATATTTTCTTACTTCCAGGTTAGCCGAAAGAAAGTAGGTGTGGAAGTGAGAATGAATACAACAGTTTCCACAGAGCATA